GCTGAGGGGATGGTGGCCGGTCCCCCAACCAGAGCTGGGAGGACACCCCGGTCACCACCACCGTGGCGAGCAGGAACACGGCCACAGGCCTAGCGCTGGCCCTGCCACTGCCGCCTACTGCAGCTCCCTCGTGCCCACTGGCCTCCCCCATGCCCAATGCTGGGGTCAACAGGACTTACTTCCCCTTCTTCTCGGACGTGGAGGGCCACGACAGCATCGGGCTGCGTGCTGCTGAGTTGGCCGTGCTGGCCTGCATCTTCCTGCTGGCTCTGGCAGGCAACGTGTGGGGCATCTGCCTGCTGGTGCGGCAGCGGCACCGTCTCTGCACTGCCAACTGCCTGGTGCTCAACCTCTTCTGTGCTGACCTGCTCTTCATCAGCACCATGCCCATCATCGGTGTGGTGCGCTGGACCGGCGGCTGGGTGCTAGGCCGCACCATCTGTCACCTGCTCTTCTACATGGTCAGCCTGAGCGGCACCGTTGTCATCCTCTCGCTGGGCGCCGTCAGCCTGGAGCGCATGATCAGCATCGCACGCCTGCAGCACCGTGCCTTGTGCCGCCGCCGGGACCTCGCCGCCACTCTCCTCCTCATCTGGGGCTTCTCTGCCCTCGTCACCCTCCCGCTCTGCCTGTTCTTCACCGTGGTGCCGCTGACCACCGACAGTGGCAAGGTAAGGCAAGCCTGGGTGGGCAGTGGAGAGCTGGGACACCCGGCACAGCCCAAAACGTAAACACGACGAGGGTTTCGCCTTGCACTCAAAGGGCCAAAAAATCCCCTTGGCCACATGCTTCCCTGCCACGGAACCAGTATCTTTTCTTTACAGCATATTGAAGCATGAGCAAAAAGCCGTTGAAGGTGATATCATTGTATCATTTACATCATTTAGTTTTTAGTCTGCATGCCTGTTTTAAAGCTGTCGTTAGCACTTCATGTGAAATTTATGGCAATAACTAGATTGTGGACTTTTTTTTTAATATTAACTAACACATCAGTTGACTGGTCTTTGAAGTAGAAACTTATTATTGATGCTGTTCTGTCTGCAGCCACTTTCTCCACAAGTAATAGAGAGAGGTAAGCACGACTTTCCAGTAAAACCAGAGGTACAATGTTAATTTTCCCTTTATTCTTTGCAAACAGGAGGTCCAGATTTGCACTTTGGTTTGGCCCAGCATTGAAGGAGAAATAGTTTGGGATGTGGCCTTCACCATCGTTGTCTTTTTAATACCAGGATTAATGGTTGTCATCAGTTACTCAAAAATATTACAGGTATTTCTTTCCTTTAAATTTTGTGGTATAACTAACAGAAGTAACCAGTATTCTCTAGGCATCGACATGTTATTATCAAATACAATTACTGCTAAAGAGTATTGACTATTTGCCCAAGTAGAAAAGTACCTGGCATGAAATGGGGCACTTCAACCTGTATCCACCCAGCTACACATTTCAACTAGGAGCATATGCTTAAATTACAAAGCCCAAGAGTTAGTCTTTATTCATATACAGCATTAAATAGTCTACTCTGTTTGTTGGTCAATATCCTAAATACTTAAAAGATTCAAACATTGGAAATAACTACATACTAGATTTTGCACTCCTTCAGCCTCTACTTTAAAGAAAGCTGTAAGTCAGCAAGGAAAGGCAGGCAAGACTGGAAACAATTATCTTTCTCCTTCTAAATCTACTGCTTTTCTCCTTTCTGCATGCCTTTTAGTATGCAGATCGCAAGAGAATGTGCTTATTTCTGCACAACTTTCAAAGCAACTTTGCAAAAGCTGTAAATGAAAACTTTGTTTCTTTCTGAGTGGATATCACTTATCTGCTTAAACATAGACACCTAGACACCAGAAACAGTTTTACTTTATATTCTAGCAAACATAGTATTAGATATCTAATGTATTATATGAGACAGTGAGAAAAGAATTAAAAATCTTCAACTTAGAACATAGAATTGATGTCTCCATCAACTTAGAACCTAGAATTTAGGCTTCACATGTACTTGTCTATGGATAAGTCTCAAACTCAGTCCATATAATCAGTTCTTGAACCTCTTAATCTCATCACAATCTTCAGATAAATGCACTAAACTTCATCTAGTAAAGCACCTTTTCCAACCTCATATTCAGGCAAATTGTATAGGCAAAGAACATACAGTAATTTAATGAGGACTCTGGGCTCCTTGAAAAAAAACGCAAAAAGCTGGTGATCAAGGAATGTCACAGCACTTGGTCAGAGACCAAGACAAGAGTGATGTTTCTCTTGTCCTTGCAGACTCCAGATTACAACAGGTAGATTTAGAAGGCAATAGGGAGCTAGAAGACAATAAAAACACATTTTGAAGACTGGATGGCAAAATAACTCCTTACTGTTGTGTTCACATTTCTTTTACAATTTGACAGTGAAGATGCTAGAATGTATTAGCACTTCTCTGTAACCAAAAAGGAGCAAAGCCCATAGCTGGATCCCATTTACTGTAATTGAATTTCCTCTCTCACACAGCTCTCCATGAAGCAATCACAACTCAGCTGGAAAATATCTTAAACCTGTCATTCCCCAAACCAGATTCATTCTAACTTCGTAAGAACGCTACATGGTGCCAGTGTATATACAGTGAAATGCTAAGTATTACTGGAAACAGTTCAAAGCATTTAGATGCATCCAAATGACAGAGCAACTAGGATGATGACTCACCACAGATAAAAGACCTCAAATTTGATTACATACTCCATAAATGTGCTCAATTTAATCTGATTCTTACTTTACATAACACTGCCCAGAACACTGGCAAAAATGACAGATCAGAAACATAATTTGTAATTAGTCTTTTTTGTTTGTTTTGTTTTTCCACCTTTCCCCCTCTCAAGCAATGCACAACCTATACAGATTCAGGAAAAGGCTAGAACCAGTAAAGAAGTTCATCTTCTTGAAGTTACATACCTGTCTACACATGACTTTTAAGCTTCTAGTCCTGAAAGTGTGGTCCAGATGCCTGCTGTAGGTATCAAGATTCCTTATTTCTACGCCAGTCAGAAAGGAATCCAAAATATACTACTACCACCCCATTTCTGGTGAACATTTTATATAGATACAATCGCATCTTATCTACTGCAACATTCTTGAAATCTTAGTTCTACACTGTGCAGATCCATCTGGAAAGATGGAGGGTATTTTTATGAGATTGGTACAAAGTCTGCTGGTGAAGATATTCTGGATAAGGTAGATTTATTCTGAACACTGGAAGCTAAGGGTTGGTTTTCCCACTTTCTGAACAAATGCTATGCCTAGGCTGTTTTAATACAGTAGGCCACACATGTACAAAACATGTATAGATTTTTCATAGCAAGGAAAAAGGATCTATAAGATTTCAGGTTAGTTCATAGAAAGCAATTCTGATTACTGAAATAGCTTACACAGAAATTTAACAAATTCTCTCCTATTTAAAACGTACCTTGACTTTTGTTACTGCAATGAATTCATGCTCCTTTTTTACCTGATAATATCAGCATAGCCATAAGACAGAGAACTGGATTCTGTTCCTTCTTGTGCACTGACAGGATTGTTAACTATGTTCCATTTTACATGTGTGAAAAAAAATCAATGAGTTTATTTAGAAAGAACAAATGCAGTCACAATCTGAAGTTAATGTAATTTCATAAGTAATTAAGGCCCTGTTTGGAATTGGAAAGTATTTATTGCTGGAAAAGTATGAGGAGAAAAAACAGCTTGACTACTATTGAGTAGACTGGTAGACTGAGAATGTTTGAAATTGAACCACTGACAAAAAACAAACAATCCTTTTCTATATTCAATTTTCAAAATAGAAACATCATGTTCAAAACTTACTTTTGCATCTGTAAAAATGTGTTTAGAATTCTCTCATGTTTCAATATAGGTTACTTCTATTTTTTTTTTTTTTGCAGATTACAAAAGCTTCAAGAAAGAGCTTAAATGCCGGCCTAGCCTACTCTGAAAATCATCAGATTCGTGTTTCCCAACAAGATTACAAACTATTTCGAGCCCTCTTTATATTGATGATCTCTTTCTTCATCATGTGGAGCCCTATTGTAATCACTATTTTTTTAATTTTAGTCCAGAATTTCAAACAAGATTTGCATATTTTGCCATCAGTGTTTTTCTGGATAATGTTATTCACTTTTGCCAACTCTGTTGTCAATCCAATTTTGTATAATGTTGCCCATTTTAGACGCAAATGTCAGGAAATACTTCTCTGCTGCATAAGGAGCCCTATAAGAAATGGAGCTGGCACAGAAACCACTGTGCGAAGAAATAACTGTGAACAACCTAATTTATCTTTCATTTACAGATAATTAAAGTCTGAGCCATGCCACTCTTTCAATCTTAATCTTTACACTATTCTGGTCAGAATAGGTCACTGTTTTATAGTATTATATACTAAAAGAGACACTCAGGAAAACAAAACAGATAAACAGTTGTATTTACACTTACTGCAGGTAGAATTCTCACCTCCTCAGAAATATGCATTCTCATGTAGGTTTCCAAAAAAAGATGCCTGCATATAAAGCTAGGTAACTCACTGCCTGAATATAGTTTTGGGCAAACTAACTCATTTCAGGTAGAAAACAATACTGAGATCATAAATATGCATTATCACCAGGTGGATGATCATTTCTGGTTGCATATCAAGTTTAAAAAGTGACGACTTTTCTGAATTTCACAAATTAAAAACATTTACTCATAGGAAGTGTAAAATAGGTTCTTCAAAAAAGATGCATATTTTTTATGTCTTCAATAGTCGTATCATAAAATAAATAGGTGGTATACATGACGGTATATGGAAGGAAATTAAAAGTCTTAGAAAAAATGTAAGTTTTTTAGAATTTAAATTAGTCATAAGTTGAAACTGAGAGAAATACTGTGTTCTAATTTATTGCCATCTGTCACCAATTTTACCTAGTGCATTAAGATAATGGTTTACTAATAAAACCATCATCTACATGTACAGATGTGCATAGAAACAATCTGCATCCCCTGTAATCCAAGTTTATTAAAACATTTCATTGGTTTATTGACAAGCTGAGCTACACAGCTCAGATAAATATATTCAAGATCTAAATGAAGCCATTTAAAAGCTTTTCAACTGAACACTTAATCAATGTGTTAACATTACATCCATGCTGCTGTTACGTGATTTCCTTCCATAGTTTTGGATCTCCTTAAGAGCAGAATCCTGAAAAACACAAATATCAAAGTTTTATTTTTCAATTACACTGGAAACATTAAAATATTCAAGCTTTTACCAAACTTAAAGTGTTTTTATATTAAGATTACATTTTATACATTATATAGAATATATAAATATGTATAATATTGTAAAATGTATTATGCATTTTATATATTTTAGATATATAAACTGCTCTTAAATCTAGCAGACTGTTTTTTAATCATTGAGCTTTAAATTAATGAGCTTTAAAGTATTTGTAATTTATGCTTTCTAATAAGAATGTGTTTCAACAAACAAAAGATCTCCTGTCCTCCAAAACTTCCAATAGCAACAGCAGATAAGATAAATATATATACACACCACTGTAATTCAGGATTTCATTTTCTACTGAATGGTAGCAGCAGATTCATTTTTTTAACTTCAGTAAAATAGTGTCTTACTCTACAAGTAGTCCCACTGTCAATGTAAATATTTATGGTGACACTACTGTTGCTAGGAATATTATTAGAAGGCTAAACAAAGTGTGATATCCACATTCACACTGAGTAACTTCAAGCTACTGAGCTACAACTCTGAGAAAAGAGTAGCACAGCCTGATGCACAGCCTGATCCACATTTAGGAAGGAGCTGCCATTAGAAATGCAAGATAAACAACAATCAAAACAAAACTTCCTAGGCTTCTTTTGCCTCAAAGAGCCAGTATACAAAGAACTGCTATTTTAAGTTTTGTACATCTATTATTTATTTTGGGGACTTAATTTCAGTACAGTATTTATACAGAAAGCTAGTAACAAATCTTTGGGAAAAACAGATTTAGCTTTAAGATGTAGGCTTGGCTTGCACAATGAGAACAGATATACAACTATCTATAAAGTTCAAACAGAATTTGACTACAATAACAAATGAACCTAAGTTAATACAGACAAATGAAGCTGGCTATTTTGATAATAATTTTGATAAAGACAAATGAAACTGGCTATTTTGATAATAATTCTGCAGCTCTTAATTGCAGAATTACAGCATAAAGTAGTAAGACTTTCAATCACCCTCATACGGATTTAAATGAAGTTTGCAAAAGTTCCTAACACAAACTTTAAAATATTGTTTACCCTCCATTTTAGCTTACAATCATTCTCTCTCTCCCAAATATATTTGCTCTGCAGGAACTTGGACTTAAGTGTACTGGAGAATTCAGAATCAATTAACACTACGGTAATTACGGGTCCTGATCATATAGCAATGGAAGAATGCAAACAGCTGGCTTTAAATTTGCTTTATACTTTGGTGCTGGGCTCATAAAGATAAAATCTGGCACAACCTTCAGTAAAAAGCAGACAGCCTTAAGGATAGAGGCAACCTTTTTTTTTCATTTACAAACAATAAGGAACTCAAACAGTCTGTCAGACACTGTACTCAACACCTACCACCTGAATATAAATTAGGTCAGCAGACAACAAATACAACACTTAATTCAGTCTGGTAGGTTGGATATTTCTGTAACAGACTGAAGGTGGCAAGATCAGCTTCTAAATTAAGGTTGGACAGTCAAAGTATATTTGAGACTGAACTTTCAAAAGACATTCTAAGCTTTTATATTTAAAATACACTACCATTTCCATACTCTGTGAAAAAGATAACCTTTCCATTTCATAGAAATTACGCCATGTCTGAAGAAGTTGTATCAAAAACTATGAACAAGTGAATAAAGCTAATTTTCCTTGGTTTGTACTTTCTTGCAAAGATTCTCAATACATTTATTTCTCATATAGTGTGGAAATAATAGAAACACAGGCACTGCTAAGCTAAATCAGACCAGTACTTGTACAAGTCCAATAGCCTATTCAATAGCAGGATAATGCTATCTATCTCTGGGTTTGACAGGGATGCAAGAGATGATCTTAATAATAATCTCTCAAAGGCACAGTGTAAGAACTGTAATCTAAACTTTATCTTTGCTATCATAAAAAATAGCCAAAACATCTCATTATTTTGTTCTCTCATCTTCAGATTTTTTTATTCTTGCTGTATTTCAAAGAGGAGTTGTAGTATTGAAAAACAAGAAAGTACTGTCAACTTACATAATGACATTAATTATCTTCTATCCTATTTTATACTATCAAATACATATTTACTTTTTGATGGCTGATAAAAATTAAGCAGTACTTTTGTTTCACTCTCTAATGCATCATACAGATGCTTTCTTGAATATACAATTCAGAAGCCAGCAGTTTATGAAGGTTAAAGTTTCTCCTTTGATTTTTTATTACTGAGTACTTATCAAAAGCCAATTTTGTTTGCATTTATGATGTCTCTTAATTTTGAATGCCTTAAATACTCTTATGTTGTCTGCAAACTCTCATTCAAAACAAATCTTTTTTCATTGCCGACAGGCACTTTTTCCAGGTCGCTAATCAGCATGCTCAACACCACCTACGTTAGCAGGTCTCTCAGGCACCATCTTATCAACATACTTTACAACATGGCACTATATTACTCTGCTTACAGATCAGAAGAACAGACAATAGAGGCACAAGAGCTGACTGGGCTGACTTTCTTTGTAATACATGAGAGTTCCCTCAGTCAATCCCAGTTTCTTCCAACAGGTCATTTAGGAAAAGCCTTTAATCTTGATTTGCAGATTTCGGTGATGAAGAACATACAACAGCTCTTGGTAAATTGTTCCAAAGGTTAATGACCTTTAGAATTAAACAAATGGCTCTCTACTTCTATCCTGAATATGCCAGGCATCAAGTTTCAGCCATTTTATTTTATTATTTCTGTGTTTGCAAAACCTTTACTATCCAATCCCCATTGCTTTTGCAGGTAAGCACAGACTTTGCTCAGGTCAGACTTTAACCTCTTTCTGATGAGAAAAATATCAAGGTCTTTGAAGCTCTCACTAGAAGACACATTCTACAAACTTTCTGTCATTTTTTCTTTGCTTCCTTTCACGTTTGCTTGTCTTCTAATTATCAGGATCATTAAACATGGCATAGCAAGCAAACCTCTGCCAAGCACCACAGTCTCATGAAAGTCTGTAAATTCATCTTTGACATGCTCTGTTTATGCATTCAAGAACCACCCTGACTTTTTTGGCCACAGCATTCATGTGTGCCATATGGCTCTGATTTTTTTTTTTTTTTTAGACCGTTCCCCAGTCTGGGTGTTATCTTTATCAATATGTATTTTATGTTATCTTCCAGATCATTGATTAAACCAGCATAAAATACCATTTGGCCTTTTCTAATACACTTTTGAACTTTCTACCCTTCACACCACTGGTACATTTTACTGCACGGAATAGAAGAAATCTAACACTTTCCAAACCTCACTGTTCTAAGGTTTGTGCACCCTTCTGTGGTGCTGGAAATGTATATTCCTCATGTAGTCCCTTAGCTTCTCTGCAGCTTCTCAGCCCCACACACCCAATGGAAGCAGGTAAAGACAAGCTATAGAGTGAGCCAATTTGTATGTCTCTCTGCTGTAAGCTCAGGCGTCCTGTAGTACAAGGGTATGTCCCTTTTCCATAAACAGTTCTCTATGAAGAACTGGACATGAAGATGTGTGGGAATGGGACAATCCTACTAATACAAGGTGGAGCATCACTATCTTTTCCAAGACTTCTGTTTTTCCTTAAAAACCTCTTGTGAGGGATATTTCAAATTATTTTTTGAAAACAAAGATAATAGTTCTTCCTTTTCAGCAACTACTTTGTTAAGAAAGATGAAGAATTCCGATAGACACAATTTCTCTTTACAATCACTATGAAGTTTATCCTTAGCATGTTTATTCATACTACGCTGATTCAATCGTTTTACAACTTCCTCTAATTGTTTCAACTGATGTAATATGACACATAAAAAGCTATACACATTAGCTCTCCTTCAGATAAGGGAAGCAAAAGTTGGAGTGAACTTTCTAAGAACTCCAGTTTCCAGAGACACTGTTAAAGCCACTAGGTATAAGTCTTCAAGCATTCACTAATAAACAAGACTCCAATTAAACCCTGAAATAAAATTCTTCAGGAAACATTCTTACCATTATGAACAATAACTCTGTATTTTCTGTCCAAGCAGAGGTCTACCTGCCGTTGTCTGACAATCTTCTGTGCCTCTGGGGGCAATCCCTTGGGGTCCCGGGAGAACACAAAGGAATAGCTATCGGCACAGGTGCCGTCTTCATTTAGTTGGCGGCAGGAATAATGAAGAGCGTAAGTATCGTAATCTGTGTCCACTACCCAGTGATCATCATCTGGGAGAAACAATAGCACAGAAAAAAGGAATTAGAGAAGTAAATAAAATTCTAAATCTTAAGAAATCTGTCATAACTCTGTAAAAGAGGTGATGCCACAAAGTTTGCTATGAGTGATAACAAATTATCTCCTACTCCTGTGTCAAGTATTTAATTCCAATTCTTTTGGATGATGGAGATGTAGAGGTTGAAACTTCTCTACTTCTCTTCCAGCATGGACCCAAAACAAGAGTGGCATCAAGCTAATAAGTCTCCTGCAAATCCATGCCTGAACATCATTATAAACTGTGGCAATGGCACAAAAACAGAAACATGCATTACAGTAACCATCATGGAGTACATAAAGATTTTTTAAAGTAAAACACAGGCAGTGATTAAAAAAAAGAAAAAAAGTTAAACAAACAGAAAATCTTGCTCATGCTGGTCATACTCCAGATTACACAGAACCTTCCTGAGTCACCATTTACCTACTAGGGTCACGGCATAAAGCACACTGGTGCGGAAAATCATCATGCAGTTGCCATGTACCTGTCTTAGAAATGTACTTGCAGCAAGCTGTATCTCCTCAACACACCGTTACAATTTTAGAGAATTCATTTAGCTAGGTAATGTGATAAATGTACGATCACACAGACACTCTGTGCTCACAGAAATGAACTGGACATTTGCAGTAATAAGCACCATCTCTCCACCTAACCCTTCCTGGAACAAAAAACGATGGCACCCATCTGTGTTACTGCAGGCAACAACAGTCAGCACTCTGGAGTATTCCTGCAAAAACGATTCAGCAGCGGGCTGTGAGGAAATTGGGCAGCAATCCAAAGCCAACGGCTTCCAGAGCATTCTTTTATTTTTCTTTTATTTTTCTTCAGAGAGGATGGAGCTTTTAATATGATTCTTTGATCTACTTCTCCAGGAAACTATTCATGAGAAAATCTTGAGCTATAAACAAATCTCTATCTGGCTCAATAACCTAATTATGCTTAGGTGTGTGGCAAATGATCACAAAAGTATGGATAAATGTATACACACACACATCATCATATCTGTTTCTTTAAAAAACAAATCTCTGTATTTGCACATGAGACTAAGCAAAAGAGCAGTTGCAAAATCCTCTCCCCCACTGTTTGCTGAAAACCAAGTCTTACGCTAGGCTTTTCAAAGAAGACGGAAGCATTCAATAACTCTGTCCTGAACTAAAACAAGACTTCAATTATTTCATCCCCTCCCCCCCCCCAAACAATGACCTTTGTTTATACTGTTCAATAACAAAACAAAAGAAACACAAAGGTAACCAAAGGCCTGGTCTCTACTTGTTTATAGAAAACCAACCACCTGTCTCTCTCTCATAATGGATAGTGACTACTTTCTTTACTGTGAGGCTTTACTTTATGATCCTTATTGTGTTTTTTAAAGGTGGTTAAGAAATCTAACACTCTTCCTCTCCCCCAGCATTGGGGCTCAACATAATATTCTCAGGCAGTTCTGCATCTTCCATAGCTAAGTACTCACTTCCTTTCTGAAGAAAAGAAGCAACACCCCAGTACTTCATCTTGAACTTGGCGGGATCCTCTGTGTCAGTGAAAGAGCCAATCATGTCTGCACAGACATCCCAGTTACTGCAGCCAGGGAGAAAGCAACACATTAAAGCCTAACAGCACAGATTTGGAGTGATAGCGGTAGGGCTAGAGAAACAGCAAGCAAATCAGAAGTTTAATGACATGCAGTAAGAAGAGATGGAAGAGTGGAAACAACTTACTTAAAGAGTCTGACTCTGCCCTTCGCAGTAGCACTCATCTGTCCATTCTCATCTACTGTAAACTGGGCTACCACATTGTCTTGCAGAAAGAGCCCCTCTGGATCTTTCTTTGCCATAGCATACCAGGTGCCACTATACTGAAAGAAAATTAGAAAGGCTGCAGTTAAGACCTAGGAGGCATGGGGAACATATTTGGAAACATTACAAACTAGAGAAGGTTGACAGAGAAGAAGACATGCAGATCTTTGAACCCATACCTCAAAGTTGTATCTAAAAAAACAAACCTAGTTGTTTCAAAAGCATAAATCCACCAACATATCCTAGGGCAGAAAGGGTTTATGAAAAAGTGAACATTTCTTTTTGGTATCTTATTTGTATCCACAGCATGCAAAACTTGATGGACAGAATAAAATAATTAGCAGGATCTTTGTAGAAGTAAACCTAAGTATGTGTTTTCATTGCAATACTTTCTGGAAAACACTGGAATATTAATTTTTCATAGAAATAACTGAGTTGCTACACTCCTTTTTTGTTTTGACCATGCAGTTTGAGACCATTCCACTGAATGTCAGATTCAGCGGTATCCTGAGAGGCATCGGGATCCAGCCCTGCAGAGGTGCAAGTAACACTACACGCACCTGCTGTTTCTCCAAGTTGTGGTCTGTGGCTGTTGGTGAAAACGTGAACGCAGTGGTATTCCCAAATGCCAAATTTTGTAGACTGAGAAGAGGAACTAGGAAAGACATCACAGATCCAGAAAAGGGAGATTTACCCTGTTCTTGTCGAAGTTCTCCTTGACTTTGAAGCTGCTCACTCGGCAGTCCCGTTCTGCTGCGCTGCCACCCAGCAAGGCCAGAACCAGTAGCAGCAGCCAGGCCAGGACTCTCCTCGCAGGGGCCATCTCGTCCCTACAGCAACAGCAAACAGAGAACAGAGTCAGAAAAGGGCTCTGTCAAGCACACAGGGAATAAAGAAGGGCAACCCTGATGAGTTCAGGGCATCCCACAGCTTTCCCCGATGCATCCACATGAAAGAGGCCTGGCCGTCCCATGCTGCTGTAGCAAGATCGCTTACAGACAGTGCCAGTCCCCGCAGCCCCTCAAAAGCTCAAGTGTTGGCAGCAGCAGCCGGGCCGCCCAGCCAGGCACTGCTTTATATAGCCCCAGAGCTTTCGCAATCCCTTGGGATCCAAAGCGAGGCTGGAGGGGGAATAGGGAGGCTCGCGGCTTGCGCAGGCCGGGGCCCCTGCACAACAGCCCCTTGCATCATCCCTGCAGGTGGTCTTTGACCCTAACTTGTAGCCAAGTGGGCGTTAGAAGCAAATGCCTTTCTCTAGTTTTCTTAATCCTAAGACAGGGCCCATTTTGGGGGGGGGGCGGGGGGCAAGGGGGAGGAAATGTTTTTATGGGGTTTTTTGTTTGTTTGTTTGTTTTGCAGGGGCAGGATGGGGTGGGGGAGTCTGGACAAAGAGAAGTGCCCTGTCTCCTCCCGGGGCAGAGGGAGCGAAGTGCCTCTACCTCTGCTGTCATTTTGCACGCAACAAAGTCCAAAATCCTTCTTGCCCAATGTGCTCAAACCAGTTACAAGGTGCAGGCTTGTTTCTTCCACCCCTTCCCCAAATTCCTTCCCTCCCTTCACCTGATAATGGTGGCAAACATCATTCTTGAAGTTTTTGCTAGCATTTTGGAAAGCCTCATAGTCTGTTCCCTCTTGCTTCTCAAAGGATGGCTCACGCACCCAAAAGCTGTCCTGGCCCTGGCTCCAGGAAACAAGAGCTGGGATCTCGCAAGAGATGCAAAGGAGCCACCTGTGAATACCCACATACATGTACGCACCATTCCTGGCCCACTTGACAAGAATCAAAGTTTCCAGAATTTCTTTTTTGGCAATCTGCTATCAGTTATATAAATGATTATTTTTTTCTCCAGTCCAGGCAAGTTTTGCTGCCTCTTGGTCAATATTTGCTCTATAGTTTCAACATATTTAGGAAGCATTAGAGAAAATCTGTTAATTATTTTCTAGATTTGTAACCACGGCAGGATAGGAATGAACATTACCGAGAGAACTAGTTCACATACTTATTTCACCTCCAAATTTTGAAAAAATAAGGGTAGGAGGATTGTGTTTATTACTTTATAAATTAACCAAAAATATAATTGAAATATGGAGATAGCTGTAAAGCATGGAAAATACTACAACAGTAGCTTATCTGAGGAAACCAAACACTTTATTCAGCATGGCCTTCCTCAGAAACATACTTCAACCTTTCCTTCCAACTATATGTTCACAAAAATAGCACTCTTGCTGACCTTGGCAAACTTTCTGACATCTAATTCAACAAGTGGAATAGTCTGATTTATCTCTTTCTTTTCTGGTTTGTGTTGGAGCCTTTTGCAGCATACCTTTGTGTACTTTCTCAAATGACAAATGCTCAGGGCTGTTCCAAGTCTGTTCTGAACCTTTGATTCCTCGTGTTAGATATCACTAGTCACTAAACATTACACTATCTCTAATGATAAATTTCTATTTGGAGCAAGAAACTATTTAATATTCGTAACTAGAAAAAGTTGTATATTAATTATCCTGAAACCTTCAAAAATAATCTTCCAATAAACCAACATTTCCATTTATAAACTGAGTTGCCTTTTCCCACAAAGACCCAGAGAGGTTCTTTCAGTATCAAGTCTATTCATATAATATTTCAGCAATGAAGTATCCATGAAAATTGCAGATAGAGGTTTTCAAAGAAGTTTAAGGTCACACAACCAAATGAATTCAGATATGACGATATCTGTCCACCTCTGTATGTAGGTCACCAGTGCTATTACGTTTACTGCACATTGTCCTCAGCAAGTGCTACAGACAGAGATCAATCCAGGTCTCACTAAAACAACAACAACAAACCTTCTGTAGATAATTTTTAATAAGATCAGTTCTAAATATGTACAAGAGCCATTATACTCTTTTAAGCCCAGCTGAGGTCATCAACAGGACTAAATCAGAATTATGTAACTTCTCTCTGGCAGTTCATATCTGGTGGAGATGCCTGGCAGCAACTTAGTAATTCTAACTTTTAATCCTTTCAGCTCCTCAAGTCTGGGGTCTCTACAAACTCCAGGCAAAGCCTGCAAAAACTGCTCTAGAAATGGTAGCACTGTGGATTTGTGGCAGCACAGCTACAATGAAGTCACATGAGCCATACTTCCAGCTCTGTCTGAGACAACTTACGCTTAGGAAGTCCTATTGCTGCTATAGTTAAAGCCCTTCAGTTCAATGGCATAAGCCTTTCAGGCACAAAAAGCTCTTCTGCCTAAGTCAGTCCCATCTAGCTAGGGAGGGCACTGGATGATGGGCAGAAGGGTCACGAGCACAGATACGTGAATCACCTGAGCCTGCTGATTCCAGGGTGAGCTTTTTCTCAGTCTTAACAAAAGTAGCTGTGCCAGCACAGCTATGCAAACTCATAAGCAGTGTAAGCTTTGCCTCAGTTAATAATCATTTCCATTGACTTGGGCTATGGGCTTGGTTGAGAAATGATGCCACGGAGTGATTTTCATCCAGGTCTCTGGAACCTGGATTCAGCCCTTGTCACTTCTCACAAGCAGAAAGCTTTGGGCCAGGCTGTCAACAGATGCAGAGCAGTGTGCACAGACCAAGCCAGTGGCAGGAAGTGATTACTGAGCTGCGGAAAAGCTTAGACCATTTAAAAGATTTATTAAGTATATTTAAAAGAATGAAGTACTCTAATTCTATTTAAAATATTGATAGCATATAAATATGGAAATAAATCATCGTGCAAATCACAAATTTACAAAAAATGTGTTAAGTTAAACATACAGCTTGTTAAATTTCATACATGACTTCCCATTCCCATGTTTGAAACTGGCAGCACACTTTGAATTCTACAGAGAATTTTTAAAAGCCTGCATGTGTTTCTTGGAACTGTATTTAACTGAATGGGAAAATGTCTCCTAGCTTCGAATTCTTCCAAGAGGCCAATAAAAGGGGAGAATTCCTGGCAATGATTCTGTGATTAAAATATTTTTTACATGAATAGCCTGCAAAAGTATGCAATATTTTCCATTAGGAATATTGACAGAAAATACACAGAAAAGTTCAGATTTTTACAGAAAATAGAAAAAAAGCATTCATTGTAGGAGATATTTTCTCTTCATTTATGAATTTAAAATTAGAAAAGGAATAAAATTACTATTTAAAATATTTCTAACACTGCAGCATTGAAGCTTCAAGTATTTGAAAACTCTCATTTATTTGTGGCTACAAGAATAAGACTGGTTCTTAGAAGAAGGCTGGCTGAAATAATTGTTACTAGGAAATGGAGCGTCCATTTCCAGTCCATACGGATTGAAAGACTTTTTGTCTTCTTAAGGTTATTTATTTACAAAGGGCCACTCACAACCACCAGAGATGAAAACTTCAGAGGCAGGTTTTGCTGGAGACAGATCGGGCGCGGTGCTACCGGTCAGATGGAGGCGTAGCCAGCGGCCCTTGGGCCGGGCTCATCTCCGCAGGCCAGCGAAGGGCAGGAAGCGAGCCAAGGAGCGCTGCGATGCCGTCACCATCACAACCGTTCCCCTTGGTGGCAGTCTGAGTACAGAGGTCAAGGACAGAATGAAACTGAAAATATCGGCCTTTGCACCACGCCAGCCTCTGAGAACTGATTTTGTAGCTTAATAGCCTCTGAGAACTGATTTTGTAGCTTAATGACATGACGTTCTGCTTAAGGCGTGAATGTACACCAAACACTTTACAAACAATATTTAAACAAATCTAGTTCAAATTTGCAACTTCATTCTCTTCAGCAAAGCTTCATAGAGATTATGGCTGAAACATTTTTTCTGGCTTAAAGTCTGCTAACTATTGAATAGTCACTGGATTAACTTTTAACATGCCCCATCTAGATATATGACAAAAATGGAAACAAAAGCATGAGAGCACATTTGCCAATGCACTGGCTAGCCTGGGGAAAACAGCTTTAAACTAGAAAATTTTCAGATGCTTTCCCATGCCCAAACACTTCTCATTCGCTCAGTATTTCAGCTCCACGAATCCACAAAACTCTGAGAAGCATCTCAAAAGTATCAACTGCTTCCACTTATATTCTGCTTGCTTGGAAGTTTCAGCACTGCCCTAAGTTGTTCTTGCCCTGGTGAAAGAGACAGACTAAGGAAGGGAGAAAACAGAGACACAGGCACATATCTGTGCGGGCAAAGCTGCTTCGCACCTGGCTAAATGGCACTCTTTCTTTCTCCTGCCCAGGCAGCTTACTGCTACAGCTATTTCATACTGCCCTGGATAAGGGAGGAAGCAAGCTCAAGACTTGCTTTTATGTTCTTTTTGTTAGAAAGTTTCTGATAGCCCACAAAATATAGCCCCCCAAAGCATCTCATTATTCCCAGCCTCATTGCTTTTTTGGTCTATGTTCAGAATAAATTACAATACATGGTTAGCTTTACTTTTTCTCCAGTAAGTCTCTGCACAGAAGAATTTAAAACAGGTCTGTCTCCAGTTCAATTAGAATTACAGAATCATTAAACCTCCCCCCCGCACCCTGCCGGGGGAAAAAAAAAAATTCCCATTGCTATTGGCACTGTTTTGGGGGGTTTGCTTACGAGGTTGGGTTTTTTTGTGTGTGTGAGAGACTAACGAGCCCTCCTCGCACTGAAGGCCATGGGGCTCAGGGACGGGGCAATCTGGGCCTTGCTCACATGTCCTAACAGGTCTTGGAGCTGAACCCAGAGCTGCAGTTGGGGGCAGCAGGCAGGAGACATTAATCCACAGTGCTCTGCCTGGGTTCCAGCATGGGGAACTGGGTGCCTGCAGCTGTATTTTCCTTGTCATTTCAATTACTCTTAACTTTCTGCTCTAGATAATCTATAGAATAAGTGCATGCCCAGTGCAAACAGCAGCTGTTTAATTCTCAAAGCAGGTGTTTTTTGGTTGTAGCAAACTGGGATGATTAATATTTTCTGGCACATAGATGCAGCCCAGTTATATCGGTGAAAACATTTTTGTGTCTCAGAGTGACAGCGGAATTTGTTTTGTTCAGAGGGAAGAGAAACTAAAACTATGTGGGCCCTATATATGTCC